TTACTAAAATTCTCATGGACCGTCGTAATATTTATTGATCAAAGAGAAAAAAAAGCATCATAGTTTAGGTAAGTTCACTGGGTACCCTATCAATGACAGCAATTCCGTATAAGAGACAGTTCTTGTCAGGACATGGTTCTTGTATGAAAACACGGTCTCTTTTCGGGTGCTTCCACAGGCGCAATGAGAAAATTTCTCACTGGCTTTTGGCTAAATTTAAAATGGTCAAACGAGTTTCGAATTTCGTCGGCAGATGTAAGTCTCCCAACTCAATAGAACTCCACTGAGAGGAAGCCGATTATTTGCCTTGGTATTGAGCAATTAAGAATAAACTGGTTTTGCCTATTGAGTTACAGTCGGTCCCGGAAGCCGAGAGAGAGCGCAAGTTGTGAGCACGCGCCCGTGTCCAAAATTCCTGGGGTTGGCTTGATGACGAAATCTTGAGGATGGCATCGTTGACAACGCCAACAATGCGATACCCAGAACTTCGTCATCCAGTTTTGCGAAGGAGAGACAGAGAAAAAAATGACCGGTTTTATCCTTGAAATTACGCGGCGACATTGAAGCTTTTTGGTCAGTGACTTTGGGTGCCATTATACTTGTGTGGCACTAGTGCCAGTAGGCATGTGTAAAGTGAGAAACACTGTTACCCGAAGTGAGCAACAGTGTTAGCCGATATAGTTGCACTGTTCCTTGAAGTTAAGGAGCTCCGCGTTGGACCCCCCAATACTGTTATCATGAAAATAAAACTATTTCTAACACTTTTCTTTTTAGTCACTCCAAGAAAGTGTGTGTGTGTGTGTTTGGGAGGGGGGAGCGGGGGGGGGGGGGGGGGGGGGGGGAGGTCATCTTTCCTTGAAGGGTTCGGGGGCGCAATATCTCCGCGAAATCGCGGCGCGGACCTATAGCAATTGTCCGAGACGACGATTGGATATCGCCATCAAGCCGGTGTCACACTGATCATACACAAGTCACCGCAATATCCGTGGTTCGAATGCCGCCTGCCAAGTTTTCTCCTTGAACTTATTGCCATGCGGCATCTCTAACAAGGACCTCGCGGTGACTTGCGTTCGAATCTGTTAGCAGACTGACGTTTCAGTGATGTATATATAAGCAGCCTCGCCCCGACTTTAGTCGAAATGAGTAAAAAAAAAAAAAAAAAACGCGCGATACTGTTTCGAGTGCGCTACAAAGTGTGCTTGGAAGTGGCGGGCTTCCGATACGTCGTTCAATGAAAACAATAGAGTTTTATAGCCTTGTTACACGGACACACTTAACTGAAGTTATGCTAAGCCACTGTACTCGACCTTTATACAACCCCGTTCGCAACCGTTTTGCGAACGCGGATCCGCTTCCAGTGTGAATGAGCGGTTAGCGCACAATACTTGCGGACAACATTCTGCGGCTGTGCAGTCAAAGCTATGGGCGAACGTGCGCTTGAGCATCTTGAGCACCCATGAAAGCAGTGCACGCGCGCTCTTCACTACTGAAATAGCTGTCCGAGAGTATAGTGCGGTAACTCTGGTGCCGCGTAACACCAATTAAAGCTGAGTTAACCGCAGTTAAGGGCACCCGTGTAACAGGGGCATTAATTGCAGTTACGCAAAGCCACAGTTACCGCACCCTTTGACAACGTTGTGTGGCTGTGCAGTCAGAGCTTCGTGCGCTGGCGGTCTTACGCATCTTGAGCGCCCATCAAAGCTGTGCACGCACACTATTTAATTCTGAAATAGCTGCCCGGGAGTATAGTGTGGTAACTGTGGTGAAGCGTAACTGCAGCAAAGGGGGGACCTAACTACGGTTAAGGGTGCCCGTGTAATTAGGGTATTAGTATACCGTAATTCGCAGATCTTGGGCCCAGCGGACGTGTGCTCAGTCAATGCTTCAGAGGGACGGCACGAGCTATGTTAGCAACGCGGAGCAGTCCACTAAAAATCTCTAATAAATGCTTTGCACTGACGCTGTGTAGTACGCCCGGGCGGCAATTCTAATAAGTGGCAACCTTCATCTCACAGGTTGTAGGCAGCGACAGCCAAGGCAGAGGCCCGAGTGCAGAGCTCTCCAAAATCCAAAATGTCTTGTTGACAAGTTGTGCGAAGGAAGCACTTTCCCAGGCCACGCTCTTGCATTTTCCGTATTTTTGCACGGAGGTCGTTTCCGCTCCACAAGTAAGAAAAGTTGAGCATGAGATGCTGCAGAGCCCCCATGTAAGACACGTATTCACCCACACTGCTTTAGGATTTTTTTAAAGCGCGAAATGCATTTTCAACGAAACCCCAATCTCAAAATTTTCTCCGTGCGTCCGTCTATCCGTCCGCGTATTTCCTGCTAAATATAGCGGGGAAACTAAATTGGTGTTTAGTTCGCGTGACGTGAATTGATGACACGTGACCTCGCATCACGTGATATATACACCAGTTATATTTCCCCGCCAAAGTCAGCGGGAAAGTCGACGTCACGTGATCTATACACCCCCCCCCCCAATGCACTTTCCCCGCTATACTTTGCGGGGACTTTAATGTCACGTGACCTCACGTCACGAGGCTTATACAGAAGTTTTGTTTGCCCACTAAATCTAACAAACAAAATTACGTCACGTGACCTGATGTCACGTGACCTGTACATTAATTCAGTGTGCCGGTTAAATTTGATGAGTAAATCAATGCCACGTAACTTAAAAACCTCTAGTTTCTCCGCTAAATTTAACGGAGAAAATGACACCACGTGAACTTGTGCACCCAGTTTCCCCACTCAGTGTACCGGGGAATTCGATAAATATAAAGGTTCTTCGCTCCTTAAAACAACGGTTTAATGTCTTCTAAATAATTTGAAAGTATCGCACCTCAAAAACTGCATTTCATGCATTAAAAAAATTTGGAAGTAAAGAGCGCTGCCAAATGTTTTAAGCTTTTTTTCTTTTTTTAGCGGTTGTTATATAAAAGATTTACAACAATTGTCTGTTCAGTGCAGTAGAATATCTCTTCGTAAGTCAATTAAAAAGAAAGATAACAAAGAAAAACAGATGACGATGATACTAGGACGCCTTACTGCTCTATTAGCGGTGAGATATTTTCGTGGCACCCTCCTATGGTTCCCCCTCGTGACGTCATTACATTGCGAACAACATGTTTGATTGTGTTTGTAATGAGCATGGTGGAAACATGAAATCATTGCGCTCTGAAACCAACACTGCAAACACCGCCAAAATCGAACTTCTTACATTGGTCTTATTTCCATCAATGAGAAATCCTTTGCTGACGTCATAGTCAGCATTCGGCCAATCGTGGAAAACCGACCGCAGCAACGCTTTCGATGGCGCACGTCGTTATTAACTGGACGCCATATTTGAGGGCAACGGTTTAAAGCGCGTGCTCAGAAAGACATCACATTTATAGGCAGCTAAGACCGGCAATCTTGATGCACGTTGCAAAAGAACTGTGGAAGCTTGCCATCAGCACGCGTCCAGCACTCGCACACACAGCTATGGCTGCCAGTGAATACTCCCTATACTCCGCTTCACTTTAAAGGGGTCATGAAACGATTTTCCTACTTCTTCCTCCTTAGCTTTAATCCTCAACTCAAATGCGAATTGTGAAATCACGTGGCCGTGACATCCCCTCGGCACCGGTGCGATGACTCCTAGCTTCCACCGTGCTTTTTATGCACACCATAGAACTTGTCATTCCCCAGTGACAGTAAGTTCCGTCAGGGCACTCATTGGCCACGAACGCGAATCCAAATATTCGTCGACGGATTGATTGTTGACGAGCGCATACGTCAGAGTGACGCAGTTCTCGTGTCCAATGCGTGAGCCGGGCTCTGCTGACGTCAGTTTGGCGCCGGTGACGCGCTTTTGGAACCGCGGATGTATCGTAGTGAAAAGGCGGAGAGCTTTCGAAGGCAAGAAGGTACAAAATAGTCCGCTATATTTTCAAATGTTCGTACCGAAAAGCTGGCTTTTGACTTTCTAGCCTCTTTCTTTTGGCCAACTAAACGATATGCGATTAGTAAAGTCCCAATTTAAAATCATTCATGCCAACTCAAAATTTGTTTCATGGCCCCTTTAAGCGCAAGCGACGTCGAAGCCAGCAGCGTGGACTTTCCATTTTCCCGGGGGGGGGGGGGGGGGGGGGGGGAGGCTGCGCGTTACCTTTTCGCCACAACTGAGATTGAAGCTAACGAAAGCACGCTGGGATTCCATTGCCCATGTATTTTGTCAATAAAGGCAACGTGGGCGTTATTTTGTTTACATGCCACTACTATAGAAGCTCGTTACATGGCACGTAAACTGCGTCTCGGTAAGGATCATGGCCCGGTCCCGGGGGGGGGGCAAAGCCCCGATGCCCCCCCCCCCCCCCCCCCCCCCCCCGTCCCGAAGTCTACGCCTATGGTCGAAGCTACAAGCGGGAGCATGTGGCCCTAAAGAGTGGTTGCATTGCACGTGCGCGCGTGCTTGGCACGGACGCTGAAAGCCCGAAGCTCGGTCTTGCAGCTTCTGCCACGCTCAAAACTAAAGTGAAACGGAGTATTGACAGTGTGAAACATTTTACTAGTGCAACGATCGGTCTTGTTTCCTAAGTATGCATGCTAAGATCTCCATACATACGGAGATGCAATACCATCCGTGTACCGAGCAAAGATTGGCATCGTGTTTCGAGAACCCTTGCCGCACCCGTACAACACTGATTACGCCGAAAACGGTCCGGCATCGGACCACTGAGCGGGACAAGCCCTATGTCAAACTCCCAGAAAGAAAAGAAAGCAAAACACGCGAACGCCGAGAATCAATCCAATCTGTTTCTCTCGACTCCTCACGTCCGTATGCCTAGGTACCCAGGCTCCCTAGTCGCTGGGGAAACGGCAGTTCACGATCTAGGGCACCGACGAACCTCTACACCCACGTGACCCATTTCCGCCAATAGAGCCGGTGCTTTCCTCCCCCGTTCGCGACCCCCGCTCTTCACATGCACTTTAGGATCTCCCCTTCCTTCGGACCCGTTGTTATTGCGCGCCGGCTTTTATACAGGCCTGTCTTCCTGCAAGAAAATCTTCCGAGATCGAGACGTGCAACGTTACGTCGTGCACCAGTCTGAAGTCGCAGCGGGCGCGTCCCCCGGTACCGGCGTAGACTAACTAGGTTATCAGTTCGGAAGAGAGCGAGGGAAAAAGGACGCGGAGAGCGCTGTAGCTGCTCGGCGCAACTTGGAGGCGACACAGCGGCGACTAGAAGCAGCGCCCCGACTTCGTGCCGGACTCAGACCCACCGTCGGGACCCTGCGAGGCCTAGCTTCGAGCCGTCGGCTTTGCCACCGAGCGGCAGAGCGCAGCTAGAGAAGCCCGCTTTCAGGTAACCTGACTCTCTTGCACCTTCACTTTTTGTGCCCGTCTCGGCTGTGTGACGCGACTGGCTTTGCGTGTTTGGGGAAATGCAGAACTTTCTTCGAACTTTCTTCGATGACCCCTAAAGTTTTTTGTTTTCTTTTTTTCTCTCTCTCTTGCCTGCATAAGGGTGTGACGGAACGGGCGGGCGTCTCAAGCTCTCGTGTTTGTGGGGTGAAGCGCCGTAGTGCCGTCCTTGCACTTGAACGACATTATGACGGTGTGGGAAAGTCTCTCTCGGCTGTGGAGAGTTTCATCTCGTTCGTGTCTAATGGTTCCGAACGTTATGACGCAGTGACTTACAATTATTTCGAGTCCCCAAAAAGACCTGCAAACAAAGTGCGATGGAGAAAGAAGCGAATTTAGTCTTCTGATAAACCCTCCCCAGAGTTATATAAAAACGTTCAGCATTTCAAGTTTAACGACGTTGCAACAAGTTTTTGCGCCTGGCTCGCCGACGAAAATATCTCCGCGTGTGTGGGTGTGTTGTCGCGTGTTGCGGCAAAACGCGCGACCGCGTTTGACCGCGCATTTCGCCCCGGCACCGTAAACCAACCGATAAACACCGGAGCTAGACAGGCGCGCAGCCTTGTTCTCTACGAAAAAGAAGGTTCTGGACGAGCTTTTCACTCAAGAGATAGAGGTCGGGCAGCCTCCTGTCTAGCGGAGCTAGACCCGCGGCTTATTGAAACGTGACCGCTCACGCTCTACTAACGGCAAAGCATCCGCCCCTAAAAAAGGACAGCGGCGGAGAGTAAGCGAACTGGAAAGTTCTCCGATTCAGTTAGCACGCTGCTCTTCCGCACCACAACGAAAAGGGGAGCGGCCCGACGAGATTCCAAGTTTGTCGTGGGCACCGCGGTGACCCTGCACGGCTGACGACGTCCTTGTGGCTCACAAAGGAAGCTCAGCAGACCCTGAAAGGAGTCAGCGCACGCGTAGAGACAGAAGGCGCCGTTACGGCGGGCCGGCGTTGCGTGGTCTTTGCCTTTGTTTTAGTTCCGCGATAGGCCGAAGCTTCGCGCTTATTCTGCATCGTGTTGTCCGCATCAATGCGGAAGCAGCAAGGGCTGGCTAGCGCACCTTTCCGCCCGTACAGTGTAGGCGTACAGGCGGAAGGATAGCTTTCCCGGTTAAAGGGGCGGGCCGGATAAGCATTGTGAAATGAAAAAAGAAGGAGTTTAGTTAAATTAAATAAATAGTTATGATCAATTAAAAGAAGAGCATAGTATGCGACCGTAAGTGCGTGAAATTTGGTACAGGTCTGACCGTTGTAATTTCGGACCAACGGTAATACATGTTTTGCGTCCAGAGGGCGTTTTCACTTTCTTTCATGTTCTTCTTTAGGATATCGATTCAGTTCGTGAGGAAAGTTATCATTACCGACTAAAAACTGGATCCGATTTATTTTAACTTGCCCATTAGTAATGGGCAATAACGTGCATCTCTAAAATGAATGACATGAAATGATAGGGACTCTACAAACCACCCCATTGCTGATCCTCGGGTTTCATATAAATATCTACATTTATATAATCATACATCGAACTTAGTGTCGAAACAAATATATATCACCAGGTTCCTTACTAAATTGAGAACTAAAACTATGCTTCCGCACCTTCCTTGAATCCCGTTAGAAAAGAAGATAAAAAAAAATGAATGGAGCGAGCAGTTTATCTTTTGTACTGGATCCGTAACCCGTATTTCCTGTTCCGTATCGTTCAGACGCAAAAGAAAAATAAGTAGCAATGTTTCATTGTAAAGTGTAGGACCAAGAAACGAAAGAAAAAAATCCTCGCAAAATGTCTTCCTCCTCTAACATGCTCATTCGCACGCCTAACGGGGCAGGTTATCACGCCTATAGTCACTCCAAGATCGCGTTCAATGCCGCTAGAATGAAGGCTTATCCTAGGCTTGAAATTTTGGCCAACATTTCCTAGTGATAAAAGCGCACAAAAGGAAACCTAAAAGAAGAAAGAAAAGGAGAAAGAACGTGGGTGCAATAACAACGACGGTAGGTGTTAAGCAAACGTAGGCAGTCGGAACGGGTCCTTCGGACCCCCACGAAATTAATTTAAAACGGTCTCGTAGCGAGTTGCGCGGCGAGCGTTTTCGAGCAAGAGTTTTGGCCGGCGGCCAGCGCCTTTCCAACGTCCTGACTTTTGAATGCGACTAACCAGTCGAGTTGCGGAGCCGCGTAAAGCACGGCGCGGTTCTCGGAAGTAGAAAGATACAACTCGAAACCACTTGAACAGTGGGTCTTGAAGATCGCCGCGTTGTCTACATGGCTTGCCCTAACGTTACAACCGCGGTCTTTGTGATGCCCTTTCTGCCGAGAGCGTGCCTTATGCCGCATACGTTTCGCACCACCGAATAAGCCGGCTCTGTGGTTCCGAGGCAAAGTGCCCACCTACGGATTCCCACGTGGTGGGTTCCAATACCGGCTGTAGCGCCTGCAATCGGACAGAGGCTTATTGCAGAGGAGGGCGCCGTGTAAGCACGTTTTAGGTTTCGCGTCAAAAGTTCCCCAGGCGGCCTAAATTAATCCTCAGTCCTCCGCTGGGGCGTGCCAGATGTTCTTCCTTGGCTTGACACATAAAAGCCGAAGAAAAAAAAAAATACTTTGGGACCACCGAATGTTTTTTGTTGATTTTTTTTACTGCAGGCACAAGTAGGAATGACCAACAGCATGGTGCTATAACGTTACATGCAAGCCAAGCGTGGACATTCGGTAGCTGGCGACGCACCGGACAGAAGGCAGTGCGAGTGGTAGTAAGTTATGTGCACCAACGAGTGGGAGAAAATAGATGTATCAAGCGAAACTGGCAGTCCTATACGAACTCCGTCAACTCCCTGACAAGAGACAGAAAGAAGAAAATAGGGGGAAGGGGGGGGGGGGGGGGGGCGAACAAAACAAAAACTAAGGCAAGGGTGCAGGCAAGCTGGTTCACTACTGACATGGTAACCCTGGAGCTGGGGAAGAAAAAGGGACGTAGGACAGCCACTGTTTTGTGTCTGTCCTACGTTCCTTCTTTTTCCCCGGCCCCACGGTTACCACGTCAAAACAAAAACGACGTAGGTAATCGCTGACATGCGTTGAGCTCTCTCGTGGAACATGAATATAAGCGTTATATTGAAAAGTTTGCAAATCTAAACGCGCCTCAATAGACAGGGGAGCTATGTTGCGCTTTTCGCACTCCCAGGAGACTAGGGAGAGGGAAGTGACGTCAACGACACAGCAAACGCAGATTGGATGTTGATTTCGTCTTCTTCTGTCAACATCCAATCTGCGTTTGCTGTGTCGTTGACGTCACTTCCCTCTTCCAAGTCTCCTGGGAGTGCAAAAAGCGCAACATAGCACCCCAGCTACTCTTGAGCTTCCACGAGACCTAAGATATTGTTGTGCCACGTCAGGTTGTCAAGAGGAATTGTGAGTAGTGTGTGAGAGACAAAGGGAGGGTGGATTAAATGAGAGATTTGGATAAGCTCGATCTCATTAATTGGAACGTAGTGTACTGGCAGTGTCACAACTGTCACCACTCATGATGAATAGCACAAATCGGCGACGCACTGCGTTGAGACGAATACCTTAGTACGTGTCTTCGTCTAGTGTGCTTGTTATGACAAATATTTAAGAGTACGCAACTTCAAAGACGAAAGTGTAAAGCAGATGTCAAACTTTTGCCTCCTTTGCATTTCTCTTCTCTAAAGTTGGTTTCTGTAGTCCTGATTTGTAATATTTTGGTACGACAAACCGATCAGCACAAGTTATGCCTTCGCGTGAAGATGGGTGCTCCTCTGCAAAAGCTCTGGGTGATATGAATGACATCCTATACTCCACACAGATACTTTTGTTCCAGTACTCGGTTCATATGCATACATGTTATAAGTTTGGAGTACTCAGCCCCGAATGTATTTTGACCCTTAACATTTTGAAAATATTTAACAAGCGTTGATTGCTTAGCGTGCATTTAAGCTTTAGTTTATCATACCAATGATTAATGATATTAGAATCCCTTGCCTAGCTTGCACGGACGCCCTGCGTATACGATGGCGTCTCCAGATTTTGAAAGCTACAGATGTAAGCATAAACGCTTGTGCAACACGGAATCCAGTACAGATTCCGCAATGCTAGAATGCAAAACGCACCTCACCCCACAATTGCAAAAAAACAACAACAACAAGAGCTTTGAAGAAAAAAAATGAGAAACAGAGAGCAGTAACTTCAGTTCGGAGACAGGTTGGGTATTAAAGGTAGAATCACTATTTCGATTCTTCGAAGTTCAGAAACGTCACTGCACTTTCTACCTTGGGCTTGGAAGGAGGCAATGGTTTTTTTGTCTCACAGTGGCAAACATAAGCGGATGTGGAAAATTTGAGCCAGTGAAAGTTTTTGCCCTCACGAATACTTGATACTCGTGATATCATCCACATAGTGTGCGAAAGCTGCGTTTGGCGGCAACGACCACCGCTCTCTCGCTGACGCGACGGCTCTGTTGTAAATGTCCGAACGATTCATTATTCTTACAGCCGTGTGACTTATTTCTTTATCGTTATTAATGGTTCACGCAAACTTCCTCGTGCTTCCTACTCTCGAGATCGGGCATCACAGAGGAAAATTACGATTGTGCTATAAATGGCACGCAGTGTGCATAGATGGCTGAGCACAAAAATGCTTTGAACTCGATCTCGTGCCCTAGACGGTGTGCCAACGGCGAGTTCCATCAGTTCGGCTTGGTGGCGATGGAACTCCGCGTCTACCTAATGGTGGCCTAGGACCTGCCTTCGTCGATATAAATTCGCGAGGGAACGCGCCTTCACAGAATTTGACTATACCAGCGAACGAACCAAATAACGAAGCAGGTTGAATAATTGAAACAAAATGAAGGGCCAGACAGGCTGAACTGCGCTCGACTGTCAAACCGGGAGTCAGGTAGAAGTTGCAAGAATAACCTCAGTGTGCTCTGT